AAAAAATTAATTTTTGCTATATTTTAGAATATCTTTAAATTCATTATAAAAAAAAAAAAGAAAAAAAAACTACAATGAAAAAAACAAGTCAGCTATATATCAATTTGTTGTACTCCTCAAATCACATTCACAATTTGGCTACAAGGAAATGAAACTCATTAATTAAAATATTATTTTGTCAGTAGTCTTAATGTACAAGAGACTTTAAAACTCCACTTGAATATTATAAAATTTTTATTGAACATTGTACAATTTCTTCCGTATTATAAACTTTTATTGAATATTGCATCTTATAATATAATATTCTCCAAATAAATATATCTCGTGGGTCACGTACTATATATATTCCGTACATTTTTCTTTATTCATTTATATAATTATAAGTTTGGATAAATAGCCTTAAAATTGTGCACTCCGTGCATCGCACGGGCTCTGTACTAGTATATAATATATACTCCATCCTATTTTTATTATGTGTCATTTTGGCTTAATTGATCATTGATAAAATAAATGTCGTTTTAGATATTTTGTTCATATTTTTTCTATTTTTAACCTTCTATTTAATGCACAGTGTCTCTTCATATTTCATCTCCATCGTTTCTCATAACATCTATTAAATAGGGTTAATATTGTCAAGAAAAAAAATCATAATTAGTGTGTTGCATTTGAATTGATATTATGAGGTCCGTTTGTATTTTACTATTTTTATATATATATATATATATATATATAATACAAAACAGTAATATATATCCTCATAAATAAAATTTAAATTTATTTATCAAATTAAATGAAATTATATCAAATAAAACTATAAATTATATTATAAAGTAATAGAAATTGGCATGTATTCTTTACATATAAAGTTAAAAAATTGTGAAGCACGACTGACATGACACTTTGATGTATTAGACATCTAATTAAGTAAAAAAATTAATCTATTTTGCTCAATATTAAATAAACATATTCTACACTTATGCATATACATATCACCATATTATTTCTATTTATTTAAAATATATATTGTACTTATGTAACAGTAAATAATATCGATATTTTTGTATGATATAAGTAAAAAAATTCAACACGGGTTGACATTTTTATTTAATGTACGGGTGTTTAATTATTATGATTAAAAAAATATAATTTGACAATTTAATTAAAACCCAAAGTAATATTTTATATAAAATTAAATTATTTTAGTTCTTAAAAAATAAAAAAATTAATATTTTTTACAAAAGATTTCTAATTCAACACCCGTGTAATACACGAGTACTGTACTAATATAGATTATAATTGTATTTTTTCAATCACAACTTAAATTTAACTCAAATTTAGTTTAACTCCAACACTCTTTATAATATAATTACATAATGTTACTTAATTATTTTTATATATCACATCTATTTTAATTCATTATTCATTCACTCAAAATATTGTTACTATGGTGTTAAAATCTAGTTACAAATTCAATTGAAGATTATAGAGTGTGGAAAATTTTGTTACTATATATTCGCCAAAAATTTAAGAACATTGTTAACTCAATTATCAAATAAAAGAATATAAAAAAATTAATATAGATATGATGTTAGTTAACTCAATTATCAAATAAAATAATATAAAAAATTAATTATCAAATAAAACATTGTCAACTCAATTATCAAAATTAGAATATAAAAAAAATTAATTATCAGATAAAATAAATATTGTTAACTCGGCATTGATCCACTGTCAAATAAAAGATCCATTGTTAACTCAATTATTAAATTCAAGTGATCTTTAAAATAAAAAATGAAATAAGGAAATAAAGATTTAAGTGATCTTTAAATTTAAAACAAATTTGGTTAAGAGAAATTGATGATAGGCAATGCTGTATGATAGAAAAATTATTTATGACATTTTTCAATCCAATTTTATTTCTAATTTTTTTATCCGAACCTAAATACAAAGCATGATATTGTGACATGTAGAACTCCAAAGCGTGCAAGCCAACTATCTAGGATCATCACGTTTTGAATTAAATATAGGTGGAGGTGGATGTCATAGTTTTGCATCAAATCAACTTTAATTATTTTATTTTTAATATTATTTTAATACAAATTTAAAATCTCACTCAACCAACTTTCTCAAAATTAATATTAATTAACCAAAAAACTCAATTACAGCTAAAATATCCAATAAAAACTCAACTCTCTCTAGCAACCTACAAAGTTTTCCATGTCTGTCAACATGCTCGGTTTTATGATTGTCAACATCCTATTTCCTTTTCTCTTTCATTTTTTTTTTTTATAAACTTGTAACCATTTTTTTAACATTTAAACTATTAATATTATGGAGTCCTTATTTGTTAAATAATCACATAATAAATG